TCGTTCCTCATCAGATTTGCATGCAGGCACTTGCAGAGAGATAACAGAGGCTCTCCCTCCCGCAGAACAGCAAAGCCTTTGTCTGCTCCAGAGGGACATGATTCCACGTCCATAAGCAAAGCCAGGAGATGGAGTGGCTGCATTCAGCCCAGTGCAATCAAATCATCTAGCTCTAAATAAATAATCAGATGAGTAACGGGAGCGCTACCTATGCCTGCCGCTCCCCCTGCCTGCTCGGGAAGTGCCGGGCAAACATCAACAAGGGAAACTGAGGCCCAGGGTGTGAGGACTGCGGGCATGGTGGAGGGGAAGGAGCCCTCATGATGGATTCCTGATAACTGTTTGCAGCTCATCTGAGTGTCTTTTACATGAGAAAAAGGGTTTGTTTCACAAAGTGACCTGGGCAGTCCCTCTCTCCAGGCTGTGGGCTTGCACCATCCCCCTCCCTGGCTGGGCTCCCTCCCCAGCTGGGGCAGTGCCCAGCCAGGGGACTTTGCACCGGCTCACTGGGGATCTTCTCCCCTCCCAGCTGTCCAGATGTGACCTCCAGTGCTGCTGGGGTCTTCACTTGCAGGGAGGAGGACGGACATGTTTGTTGAAGGAGAACTGCTGGGGATGCCACCCCAGCTCCGGTCCATGGCATGGCCATGCTCAGCAGCAGCATGGGTGCTGGCAGGAAAACCCTCCGGGCCACAGAGGTGTCACTCAGTCCACTTCTGGGGAGCTTTGGTTGCGTGGAGGAGATCAGATGAACACATATTTCTTATTAAAATTAATTTGCAAGGCTCCATCCCCTGGTTACACCTTTCCTTTCTCCTCCTGCCCCTTTTCCATTAGCTCTCTCTGCAGCTCCTGCTTGTTTTGCATTGCATCGCTTATCATGGTGACAAACGAGCCGGAGCTTCCCCAAGCCCCCTCCATGCTGAGTGTCCCTGTCACGGCTGGCTGCGGGCAGGGGCCGGCCAGGCATGGGAAAGGCAAGGGATGGCTCCGGGAGAGCCTGGTGAGCCCCAGCCCTGGAGGGGAGAGCACAGCCACTCCCCGTCACACCTGGGAGCTGGGCGAGCACGAAGCGCCCTGTGCACAGAGCCCCATTGATGGGGAAGGTCATCTGAAGCCAGGAGGGTGACAGCTACAAGGGGTTTTTGTCCCCGGGGTGATGGGGACAGGGATGGGGATGTGCCATCGGCTCTGCCAGGTCTCTCTGTGCACTGGTGTGGGATGCTGGGGCTGTCCTGCCCTGGGACCACATCTCGGCCAGCAGCATCATGTTCCTGAGCTGCCACCAGCCCCTGGGAAAAGGGTGCTGGGGAAGGGGGCACCCAGACACGGTGGGGGGAAGGAGCTGGGGAAGCTATTGGGCGATTTGGGGAGTAGGGGGTGCAGAAGCAAGCGGGATAAACCGGCCAGGAGCAGGTTTGGGCTGGAAATCCAGAGGGGGTGTTCTCGTTTCGGCTGGGATAGAGTTAATTTTTTTCCTAGTAGCTGGCATAGTGCTGTGTTTTGGATTTAGTAGGAGAAGAATGTTGATAACACGCTGATGTTTTAGTTGTTGCTAAGTACTGCTTATGCTAGTCAAGGACTTTTCAGCTTCCCATGCTCTGCCAGCTGCACAAGAAGCTGGGAGGGGGCACAGCCAGGACAGCTGACCCAAACTGGCCAAGGGGCTATTCCATACCATGACACCATGCTCAGTACATAAACTGGGGGGGGTTGGCCAGGGGGCAGTGATCATGGCTCAGGGACTGGCTGGGCACCAGTCAGCGGGTGGTGAGCAATTGCATTGTGCATCACTTGTTTTGTATATTCTTTTATCATTATTATTATTATTTTCTCTCATTCTGCTGTCCTACTAAACTGCCTTTATCTCAACCCACAGGTTTTACTTTTTTTTGTCCAATTCTCTCCCCCATCCCACCGGGGCAGGAGGGTGAGCGAGTGGCTGTGTGGTGGTTGGTTGGCGACTGGGGTTAAACCACGACAGGGGGTTATCATGGGCAGCGCAGGGGGCTGAGGGGGGCTTTGCAAAGCCACAGGCACGTCGTGAACCATTTGGCTGTTGCCGTTTTGGATGGAAACCAGTCCTGCAATAACTGAGGAAAGGTGGTGCTCCCACATCCTGGGCACCAAGCCAGGAGGATGGTTGGGGCCCCAAACTCAGCTGTTACCTCTGTCCCCATGATGTCCCCTTTGCCCCACACTGCCAGTATGGCTTTAATTGGGGTCCTCACGCTTGGTGGTGTTGGGTATTTGAGAGCACGGAGGACTTCTGGCCAGCGCTGGTTGTGACACCTCCAGGTTTTTTGCAGAAGCAGCTTCCCAGGGTGTCAGATTTGAAACAGAAAGGGAAGGCCCTGTATATCAGGGAAGAGGCAATTTAACAGGGCGCATCAGTGAACAAAATCCTGCGGGGCAGTGAGAGACTGGGTGCCAAAACCTAATGGAGAAAACAAAAGGCTGAGACATGCCAGAACATGACTGGAAGCCAAGGAGGGCTGGTGCTCAGCAAGCATGGGAGGCTTTCGTCACTCTGAGGGGGACGACCAGCTCGAGTGGCTACATGGCCTCGCTCTGCCCCATGCTCTTATGGCATCTTCAAGTCCTGTTAATCACCCTGGCCATAAGCCCCTGGATAACGCCCTGAGGGGCCGGGAGTGCTGGGGAGCCCCTTGGCTTGGGGGAATGGAGCTGCTCCCACAGCACCAGTCCTGCATCTCGAGGGATATGTGCAGGTGAACGCTGCATCTGGGGACGCTCGGGCAGCTTCACACCTGAGCAGGAGCTGGAAGCGCTCCCTGGGGCGAGTGCAGCAGTGACCTGTATTGCTGCTGGACTCTTGGACCAGGTCCAACTCCTTATTTGAGTGCACCACCACCAGCTACCCAGAAAAGCCTTTTTTCCTGCAAACTGCAGAGTGCCAGAGGCTCTGGCAGGGTGAGGAGATGCCCGTCCTGTGGGCGAGGGGCTGGATGCTGCTGGGTGCTATGGGCTCCCCGCCAGGCATGAGCGGGCTGTAGCGTTCACCTGTTTCAGCAAAATCTGGGCTGCCAGAAAGGTTAATTATATCTTTAAGTTTCTTCAGTTGTCAAATCTTGTAACTATCGTCTCAAGCTGACGGTTATATACCTAGCAATTAACTGGTAGCAAGGCTTTGCAGGCAGCAGGGGGGTCTGGCCTTGTTTCCCATCTATGTACACAACATGCTCTCAAAGTGTTGCCTTAATGGAGCTTAACAGTGCTGGCAAATATTTCACTCAGAAATCTTGCATTTGCTGACGTGTTGCACCAACAAACACTGAATCAATCAGGGCTCCGATAACGAAGGCTCCTCGTTAGGAGGCATGTGCAGATTTGTACCTTCTTCCCTCCCCAGCCACCCTCTTAGGCATCCACAGGCTGGTGCAAACCAGGAGGAAAAGCTGCTTGATCACCATCCTTTTCCTTTACTGCTGCTTCCTCTGATGCTCAGCAGCAGGTACAGACCTGTCCCAGCAGGCGTGGGAAGCAGGACATCGGTTTTTTTTTTGGGACTGTCCTGTTGGGCCCCTGCTAAAAATCCCACGGGTGGATTCAGCAGCAAGAGGGGTTTGCTCTGCGGTGCGATGCTGTCACAGGAATAGCTGGTACCCCCTCAGGATGGATTCCCCTTGGGAGGCAGCACTACCGAAAAAAGGGCTCCTGGATTACCCACTGTCCTCAACTTCAATTTTTTGCCTTTGAATGACCATATTTGGACATTTTAAGATCTCTCCCTGCACCACGGTGTGTTTTGCACAGGCTGGGGCGGGTGGCGCCTACAACCAGGCTCCCAGGGCTGCGTACACCCTGCTTCTGCAGCGAGACTTCACACTGGCTTCTCCATACACTGGCTCGGACCCATGCTGGGACAAACACAGGCTGCTCTGTGATAGCCACCCCCTGTGTGATGCTGAAAGGGAATTTTCTTTGCGTTGGTATGGCACAAGAGGCAGGCAGGGGTTATTTGGCCATCCAGCAGTCAGTAGCATCAGGGCTCTTGGGGAGAGAACCCATTTTCTGGATGTGCAGGTGACCACAGAACTCCTATTTTCATGATCTCGGCTGCTGAGCTCACCTTCTGCAAGGACCAAGGGTGGAGGTCTGGTGTCACTGAGGTTGGCAGCAAAAAACTTGTCAGTCCGTGAGGAGCCAGCCCCTCCTGCTGAGGCCATCTTTAAAAGGTTACTGAAGCCTCCGTGCCCATGGTTTCAGACTCCAAGAGCGACACCGGTATGGAGCTCACAGCGGTGGACACCTGGGCATGCTGGAAAGGAGGAAAACACAGAGAAGAGAGATCATTCTCCTTCTCTCCAGCTGCTGGTGGCTGAAGCATTCAGGTGAGTCCTGCGAGCAACAGGTGGGTTAGACGACATGCGAAGATCAAACAAGATGCTCCATGGCAGCTGGCAAATGCGTCTCGTCTCATCACATCGCCTGCAGACATCCAGAAACACTGCCTGGAAGCATCTATGTGAGCTATATCTATACTTGCCAAGTGGAGATGCCTATAACACAGCTCTGTGGTACCCCTCCGAGCATGGGCAGGAGCATGGGAAATATTTGTTGGGAATATCGCTATATTTGGGGATGGTTTGTACCTTCAAGAATTCAGTTAGAAATAATTGACAGGATGATATGCAGCCATCGGCAAACAACGTTACTTTCCTGCAAGCAGCAGCACCAGAGGGAAAACAAATTGAAGCAGGTGCGGGAAGAGTTAGGAAGCACAAGAATTGCATTCCCGAGCCAAATGGACAGATTGAGACAGAGGAAAACAAATTGCAAAGGGAAATGGCTGCCTATTGCCCAGATTTTTCAGGCTCTGGGAGGAGGTGGAGGTTGGGTTCAGGCTCTGTTTCAGGGCCTGGGAGCTGTGTCTCCATTTGAGCAGCTGTGTTAGTGCTCAACCTGGGGTGAGGGTCAGTTTTTAGGGCGTTTCCACCCTGAGCAGGGCTGGCATCACAGGTTTGGGGAGCAGCATCCTACAGAAGCACTAGCCCCACCACTGCGATGACCATGAGGAGCCCAGCCAGGACACAGATGCTGATGAAGACCATGTCGCTGGTGTCCTGGCTCTTGATTTCGTGGGTGTCCATCGCTCCCTCATCCCACTGTTGGGCATCTACCAGGTTTTCTGCCTGGCTGAGCCTGGATGGGTCAGGGCCAGCAATGAGGGTCACCGAGGCTTCCTTCCTCTTCGGCTCACACTGCACCTCATACTGGTGGATGTCCTCCTGGTCGCCCGCTGAAAAATTGATGTAGAGGGTGCTGACGATGACAGAAGTGTTGTTGCGTTTCTGCAAGACAAGGGTCACGGCTTGTCAGGGCTTTGTGCAGCTTGTTTTGACAGGGGTTTGGAGGGCAGTTGGCCACGAATCAGACCAGCATCTACTGGGAAGATGGGAGAAGGACTGGGAACTCCTCTCTGCAGCCGGTACGACCAGCATGGGGCTAACCATCTACTCAGCTTGCTTTAAACGCAGGTTTGCTGACTGCTTACCTGGGATTCGGTGCCGCATGTGTCAAACCGGGTGTGTATTCTAAAGTTCCCGCCAACCACCTGGGCTGCGCAGGAGGGAGTCCCCAAATAAATCCTGTTCCTCTCCAGCTGGGCCAGGGACTGCACAGGGATCTGGATGTGGAAGTCCGTCCGGGTGCAGCTGACGTTCATGGGCACAACTGTCAGGGCAGAAAACAAGGTACACGTGAAGGTTCGTCAGAAGGGGGTTTCCCCAGGCAGCAGTGACTGCAGTAGCTCAGTGCAGAGCCACAGCCATTTTCAAAGCTTGCTGTCCCCATCACACACAAAGCAGGTGACTGATGGCAGCAGGAGTAGCAGGGACATCAGCCTTGTGAGTTTGCCATGCATCTCACAGTACCTGGGCTTGCTGCTGCAAGACTCACGTGATGAGATGAGTTTTCAGGCAAAAAAAGAGCTACACCCAAAATGCAGAAAGCATTATTTTATAGATCAATATTTTAGCCCTGCCCCGTGCCAAGGTCAGACACGGTTGGCTCCCAGGCACTGCCCTGCTTTCTGCCCTGGGGAAAGACACCACCAACAACCTTCTCGAGCCTCATCCTCCTTCCCAGCTCTCCGAGTGACACCCGAGTGCCATTACAGGCAACACCGTCATGCTGTCACTGCCATAAGCAAGGAAGGATGTACCCTGTGAGAGCAGCAGCTCTCCATCATTGCAAAGCCAGCAAAACATTTGAGTTGCTGCCTGGGATTAGACCATGAGAGCTTTGCTGGTGGCTTGCCATGGGCACAGAGCTCCCCTGCACACTATGACACCCCTGCAAGAGACACTCCTACAGCGACGAAACAGAGGAGATGTATCTCAGGGAGACCCCCACACCTGCCTGCCCCAGAGTGATGCAGCTGCATGGCTGCCATATGGTCCCTGGGGGGAGAGTGAGCTGGGTACCCAGCCCCAGGGCATCCTCCTGGGGGATGGCCCAGCCCAGGTCCTGTCCAAGCATCATCAGCCCCCCACCTCCCCCAGAATGTTATTTTTGATGGGAGGCTGGTGAACAGTGCACTGAAGGAGCTGCTATTGAGCTGCCCATGATGCCAAGAAGAGGAGCAGGGCAATGGGGAACCCAGCCCCTCTCCATCACTCTCTCTCTGGCACAGAAAGCATCCACACAAGGGAAAGGAGCAGGGAGAAAAATGCCCCCCTCTTTAAAGTCAATCCTCGCTCAGCTTGAACCAACCACTTGGGCAGTATGAATTATTGAATTATTCCAGCTCCCTCTGAATCTTGGCCTTATGAAACTGGTAAGACACAATAAAATCAATACGAAAAAATAGTGTCACTTTGCTTCACTTAGTGCATTATAAAACCATTAGAAGATTTACCAAATAACTAAAGTGCATTAGATCAAGAGGAGGAGGAGGAGAAAATGGATCCTCTCTCCTGGCGTGAAGGCTTTCGTTCAAATGGCCGTAAATCATACACGCCCAGCCCAAGTCATGCCCTTTTGTGGGCTTGAAAGGAATATATCTGCATGGCTCAAGAGCTGTGGATGTGGAGGCTGAGATGCCCCTTTGCCACTGAGGGCTCCTGAGGAAGCCAGAGGCAGGGAGAGGCCGGTGCTTCCCAGTAAGAGCAGCCGCTCTCCTGGCAGAGCGCTGGCGGTTGCATGTGCCACGCAGGCTGCTAATTGCAAGCAGATGCCCGAATCGCCAGGCAAACATAGCAGGCAGCCTTAGCTTTACGGAGAGAGGCTCGGTTTCATGTCCAAGCTTTTGTCCTCCCCCAACAGCATCCGGCAGCGTGTACTGGGGGATGCAGGAGCCTCGGGCAGCTGGGAGAAGTCACGTCCCCCTCCGTGATGGGGCTTCCCCCCACTCTTCAGCTAGCATCCCATCTATCTGTCTGCAAGCTCCTCCATTGGGAATGGGGTTTCTCCATGACCAGACACAGTGAGGCCAAGATTTATCTTCCTGCACACTGCTGTAAAACAGTAAGAAATAAGCAGGACAAGGACAGGGACAGACCTGCTGTGCACACTACCAGATGTCCAGTACAACCTCTCTCCCTCTAGAGGCTGCAGAAGCTCAGGACAAAGCTCCATCCCATCTCTTACTCCTAGAGCCACATACCCCCAGATCCCTTCTGCTACACTGGAAATGAAGAACAATTTTGCTGCTGAGGGATAAAAGCTTGTAAACTCAGGGCCAGCCACCCCCAGCTCCTGCGCCACTGGTCCAGCAGCCCTGCTCTGGCTCCAGCTTGCCAGTGAGGCTGCCCCTGTCTGAATCATCCCTGACACACAGGTCAGCTCAGATGTAATTATCTTGAAATACAACAAATGCCATAAATTTGCTGGCTTTTGAGGTGCAAAGGTTGGCAAATACATGAGGAAGGTTATACACCGGTCCTCCCACCGACTGTGGACGCTCCGGCTAGGACACGGTGCACGCCAGTGGCAGGGAGGTGCCAGGCAGGGCTGGCTGGGTGGATTTGGGAACGCCATGACCCGGGAGTCCTGCCCCTCCGGTGCTGCTGCCAGTGGAGGAGAGCACACAGTTTAGTCTGCCTGCTGAGCTGTGTGCTGGCAGTGCTGGAGCATCCTGGGGAGCCGGGAACAGGGTTGTGATGCTTGAGCTGGTCATCTCCCCTGGGGCTTTCATCCCCTAAAACCCCCTGGGTTTTCTCTCCTTCATGCCCTGAGAGAGGAGCAGGAGCATGCAGAGACACAGGGAGGAGAAGCTGGAAAGCATCTCCTGAATACTAAACACGATGTGGAGCATGTGCGTCTCTCACTCTGCGAGAGCTGGAGCTCACCCACCGTGTCTTCTCCATCCCATCCCTAAAGAACCATGTGCTCTGTTCTTGCAGACGGGTATCTTCCCTGCACAGTCGTTCCGGAAATTGCATGGTCTCGGGCATGTCCCAATGGAAATAAAGCACTGTGGAGCATCCAAGTGAGACCTTACCTCCCACATAGGTGATGGAGAAGCCCCTCTTGGCCGTGTTGCGGTCGGTGTGGAGGACCAGCAGCAGCTGGTTGTGGCGGGAGGTGACGGGTGCCGGTGACTCCCGCCCGCACCACTGCCCCAGCAGGGACCCATTCTCGGCACCACCGTCGAAGGCGGCCAGGTGGTCGTAGTCGCAGCCACCCGTCAGGCTGCTCCGGCCCTCCAGCTCCATGTCCAAGAAGAAGACCTTGACCCGGTAGCCTGGGGGCAGCTGGATGCTCCACTGGCACTTGAGGTTGTTGGGGTAGAAGTTGGGGTACCGAGGGCTGGAGAAATTCCCTTTGATGGTGGTGAACACCTCCTGGCACTCGCCTGCTCAGGGAAAAAGGAGAAAGGAAAAAATAAAAGCAAACCTGAAGCCCCCTGGGTGTGGATGATCTGGTGGCTGAGTGATCACTTGTTTTATTGCTGAAGCATGCTCTGCCCTCCACCTCATTGCTCCCAGCCTTGCATTTGGCTGATGGACGCCTATCAGTTTTGGGGGATGGCAATGCCCAAGGTGGCCAAAGTCCTACAAGAGCAGATGGGGAAAACCCATATCCCCAGGGAATGGCATGAGCAAGGGAGAAGGGTGGCTCTTGCTCAAAAGACAGACAACCCAAGGCCTGGGATAGTCACAACAATGCCATTTGCATTGTGTGGTGGTTTACACTTCACACCATCATCTCATGAGCTCTCCCCAAAGGGTTCCCCTCCACTGTCATCTCCTCTTGCTGCCGCAGGAGGGAGAGCATCACCACCACCCCCCCAGGGACCCATCCCCACGTCCTTCCCACCGCCCCACCACCCCAAGACACCCCGCACCCGAGTAGAAATGGGCCTTGAAGCCCCTGCCACCGATGTTGAAGTCTGCCTTGAAGAGGACAAGGAGGTGCGGGGCAGAGGAGGGGGTG